TTTGAAATACAATTTATTCAAGAACCTGCTGGGCAGGAATCACGAACAAAGTATAAGGACGTTGGCAGAAGAATGGAATTCGACTAAAGGAGTCCTCAACAGAAATTGCCAGGTGGTTTCACATCCAACTGGAAAAGCTGCTCTCTCCCTCTGATCCACCAGAGGGCAGACTTGGGCCACAAGGCACTTCCTGAGTCCCCCAACACACAGGAAAATGATTTGACTTGCTGATTAGTTAGGAAAGAGGGCTTATCATTAAGAATTATGCTCCTTGTTAGTAATTATCTATGCTTCTACATATCATTTTCAATTACACAGATGAAACTTCCATTATTAGTCAGTTTAGGGGGAGTCTTTAAGGCTACTAACCAGTCCTAGCAGTTACCTCTGGCATCCCCATCCCTCACATACATTGTTGTTGTTGTCAGATGCCATTGAGTCTATTTCACTCATAGTGATCCCGTGTGACAGAGCAGAACCGCCCCATAGAGTTTTCTAGACTGTAATCTCTACAGGAGCAGATTGCTAGGTCTTTCTCTAATGGAATGGCTAGGTGGGTTCGAACTGCCAACCTTTCAGTTAGCAGCTGAGTGTTTAACTGTTGCACCACCATATGTTACAAACCTTGAAAACCTTTACCAGTCACTTAGAGACCTCAAACCTAACCTCCTCTGACTTATAGCAGGGGATCTCATCTCCAATTCACTGAGAGAACAAAAACCTTTATTTGTGAAACTTCTCAACTTCTTTCTCTAGCACCTCAAAATTACTTTACAGACTTCCATCCCATCCTTGGAAATATGGTGGATGACATAAGATTCCACCCCTACTCTTTGAGCCACCTACAGATGCTGGGCAACATATAACAGACACCTTTTTAAATCCGTACCCAGCTTATGAGAGACTGAGCGAACACCCTATGTGCCAAAACCACAGCGGACACTGAAAACAGAGTTAATACGGTGCTTCGACAACCCGAGAGGCAGAGAGTTAACCGTGAGATCTTCAAAGCAAGGACCCTCAAAGGGCTCTACCTTCAGAACAAGAATGAAACCAGAAAAAGAAAAAAATCCACAAACGGCAAAGGGAGCAAATTGCCTCGGCTTTGTGTTACAGGTGTTTAAAAAAAAAAAAAAAAAAATGTCTCCCCGTAGAATTTATAAGTGGCCTGATTCTTCACAGGACTGGAGTTGACTTCATGCTAAGAAATTAATATGAAGGCGATTCTGCTTTGGTAACATGTCCGAGGAACCTAGCAGAAGCCAACACATTGTCTGAAGGGATATACCCTCCACCTAGTGCCACTGTCATTCTCCCAGAAAAAGCTATGCTCAACATGAGCTCACAAATCAAAACGATAAACCACATGAGAAAATAACCCACCGTGACTGGGAATCAGCCCCAAACACTTCAGATGATAGAGTTATCAAATGACCAGCTGCCACTGAGTCGATTTGATTATGACTCATGGTGACGCCATGTGTATCAGAGTAGAATGGTGCTCCACAGGGTTTTCAATGGCTGATTTTTTGGAAGTAGATCACCAGGCCTTCTTCCGAGGTACCTCTGGGTGGACTTGAACCACCAACATTTTGGTTAGCAGCCAAGTACCATTAACCATTTGCACCACCCAGGGACTCCAGAATTA